GAGTGCTGGGATTAAAGGCGTGCGCCACCACCGCCCGGCGCCTACTGTGTTTTTGCTTGATCAATATAAACAAAAAAAAAAATTCTCAAATGAAGGAAAGGCTACATTGGATGGTGGCAAAAGGAATCTCAGCCAGTAAACCGGTTTCCACTTGAGCCAGTTTGCGGATCCAGAACCCCTTGAATGAAGAGAAGGACAGGTTCCCCTGAGGAAAGGACCTAAGACTTTTACTGCTAGCCCAGAGAGACCTGTGGCTTTTTACACAGGTAAATGTACACTGGAGAGACAATTAGACTGTCCAGGGTCTTTTGGATAGTAGTTCTGAACTGACATTGACTCCAGGAGATCCCAAGAAACATTGTGGTCCTCCAGTAAATTTAGGGGCTTCTGGAGGTCAACTTGACCAATGGAGTTTTAGCTAAAGTCCATCTTATGGTAGAACCAGTGGGTTCCTGAACTCATCCTGTGGTTATTTCCCCAATGCTAGAATGTATGATTGGGATAGATATACTTAGAAGTTGGCAGAATTCTTTGTCTAGCCCCACTGTTTGGCCTGTGCATGGCCCCCAACTTGACCACTGTTCTGCCAGAATGGCTGGCCCACATTGCTTCTCTAAAGTAACACCTTACGCATGCTTCATGGGTTTTGAGATATGTGTGTTCTTGATGGTCTGGGCAGTTCTTTGAGTATTTTTTAAAATGAACTTGAGATCTGAGCCTCTTGATTTACATGATTCTGTAGGGTTTTCTGAGTGAAGAGATTGGTGGACCATTTTCATAGGTCACCTCTTGGCCATAAACAGGAAGAGTCTACTGCTTAATCCCTTTAGCCAGTTCAGAAACTATATGTTGAGATTACCAATAAAAAAGTTAACATGGGCAGGAGAGACTGCCCCGCAGTTAAGAGCTCCTTTTCCTTTGTGAAAAGGAAGAATTGTTTCTAAAGCAAAATAGAAGGTTTCACAGAAGAAAAAGGGATTCCCAGAAGAAACCCAAAGAAATATAAATCAATGGCATGGAATAAATCCAACATTAAATAAATGTACAGAAATATTTGTTTGTTTTAAAAAAGGAGGGAGGACCAGGCGGTGGTGGCTCACGCCTTTAATCCCAGCACTCGGGAGGCAGAGCCAGACAGATCTCTGTGAGTTCGAGGCCAGCCTGGTCTACAGAGTTCATTCCAGGAAAGGCGCAAAGATACATAGAGAAACCGTGTCTCAAAAAACAAAAACAAAACCAACCAAATAAACAAACAAACAAAAAAGGAGGAGTTGGAGGCTGGAGAGATGGTCCCATGGTTAAGAGCACTTGTTGTTCTTGTAGAGACCTGGGTTTGCTTCCTGACACCCATATGGTGACTTACAGCCAGCTGTAATTCCGGTTGTAGGGGATCCAGTGCCCACTCTGACCCCAGTCACATGTGGTATGCATACTTATATGCTTGCAGGCTAACTATGAAGACACATAAAGTATATTTTTAAAGATGTGGTCTGGGGAGATGGCTTAGTAAAACATTCAGCACGAAGTATGAGGCCCTGTGTTCAAAACCAGGTGTAGTGGTTCTTCTGTGACCTCTGGGAAGTGGGCACAAAGGAAGACGGATCCTTTGAGTTCATAGCCAGCCAGTTTGCAGAATTGATGAGCTCCAGGTTCAGTGAGAAACAGTCTCAAAAAATAAGGTGAGCCGGGTGGTGGTGGCACATATCTTTAAGCCCAGTACTTGAAAGGCAGAGGCAGGCGAATCTCTGTGAGTTCAAGTCCATCCAGGTCTACAGAGCAAGTTTTAGAACAGCCAAAGGTACACAGAGGAACCCTGTCTCAAAAAAAAAAAAAGATGAAGAGTGACTATGGAAAACATGTGATGTCAGGCTCTGGTTTCGATACACATATGTACACACGTGTGTCCATATATTACAATATTACACATACAAAGTAAAGAAAAAGACAAGGCAGTTAAATGGTGTGTGCATGCGTGTGTGTGTTTGTGTGTGTGTGTGTGTGTGTGTGTGTGTGTGTGTGTGTGTGTGTGTGTGTGAGAGACCACGTATTTCCATCTATTCCTCTCCTCTCCCAGAATGCTCGAAGAACCTTCGCCGGCTCCTCTTCAGCCCCTGTCTTGTAACACACCGATCTGGGCCTGCCGCCTGAGGAGTTGTGAGGTGAGTCTAAGAGAGTCCTTACCTCACTTCACTGGTTATGGCAACACTTCATCCCCAGATGAAAATTTTTTAATACAAATAATACAGTCAGTATCTGCCATAGTCTGTGTGCACTGAAGCTTAGTCTAAGCTCCCCTGTTGCTTTAGAAGTTATGCCTCTTGTGGTGGGGCAGCCTGTAATCCCAGCACTGGGGAGGTGGCGGCAGGAGGATGGAGAGTTTAAACTCATCCTTGGCTACAGAGTGAGTTCGAGACCAGCCTGAGCTACATGAAGCCCTGTCCCTGAAAGCCGAACGGAAGAAGAGAAAAGGCCGAAGTCGTGTGAAGCTCCCGAGTCGCTGCCGTCTCCTCCTGCGTGGCTCACTCCATTAGCATCCCTGTCTACCTTCTGCTCTGGACCACCTCCTCTCTCTCTGCTTGCATGGCTGACTCCATTAGCACCCCTGTCTACCTTCTGCTCTGGACCACCT